TCTGCACATGATGTTATTCATCAGATTTTTGACTCAGAAACTAGTGAGGAGGAGGACATGCAGGATGCATCTTGCAGTGAAGATGTTTCTGAAGAGGAAGGCCTTCAGAAGAAAACCTGCCTTGCCTCATAGGTGGGGATGAAGGCCAGGACAAAGTTCCATCTTTTGACCAGAATGAAACGGTAACCTCAGCTGGGCCCTCATCACTGGAAGACTGCTCCTCATCAGTTGTTTCAAGCTCCGTAGCCGATTCAGTGGTGCCTTCCTCTTCAGAAACATCTTCACTGCAAGATGCATCCTGAATTTCCTCCTCCTCACTAGTTTCTGAGTCAAAAATCTGATCACGGCCTGTGTGTGTGTGTGTGTGTGTGTGTGTGTGTGGTAATATCAGATGGATAAATGTATATTAGATGCAGGTTAGGGTAGGATCAAATTTCTCTCTGTGGAAAAGAATGTGTGTAATATTTAAAAAAGTTTGTGTGTTTTAACGTGTGTGTCTGGGTAGCGTGTGTATAAATGTATCGATACATGCACAGATCCAAGGGCTCGATGTTTGCAAGCACACATGCTCATATGTGTACATGAAAATAATGAACATGCTCCTGAAAACTAAATTGTTCTGTTATTTTCAGTCTCTCCCATTCACTTTCAATGGTCGGCCATTGTGACCATTTTTGACCATGCCTACTCTCAGATAAATGAGGCCCACGACTAATCAGATGCAAACAGAAATATAAAACCAGTCCTAATTGAAAGAGAACAAGTTGACAAAAAGATTGAATCCAAGATTGGGTGAAAATATGGTATTATGAGTGATTTATAAACTATTTTTTATAGGCCGGTCATTTTTGACCGGGAACACCACAAGTGTGACTATGTGCCATATTTTTTACAAAACAAAAGTTTCAAAACAAAATTCCTTGTGAAACATTAGAGTAGACTAGTGTGATTAACAGTAGCCATTTTTTTCATATTTACTTTTCATATTTCCAAATTTACTCATAAATTATTTGTTTTTTACTCAAAAAATGAGATGCCTACTCTCAGACAAATGAGGCCCACGATTAATCAGATGCAAACAGAAATATAAAACCAGTCCTAATTGAAAGAGAACAAGTTGACAAAAAGATTGAATCCAAGATTGGGTGAAAATATGGTATAATGAGTGATTTATAAGCTATTTTTTATAGGCCGGTCATTTTTGACCGGGAACACCACAAGTGTGACTATGTGCCATATTTTTTACAAAACAAAAGTTTCAAAACAAAATTCCTGGTGAAACATTAGAGTAGACTAGTGTGATCAACAGTAGCCATTTTTTTTCTTTTTTTTTTTCATATTTCCAAATTTACTCATAAATGATTTGTTTTTTACTAAAAAAATGAGATGCCTACTCTCAGACAAATGAGGCCCCCGATTAATCAGATGCAAACAGAAATATAAAACCAGTCCTAATTGAAAGAGAACAAGTTGACAAAAAGATTGAATCCAAGATTGGGTGAAAATATGGGATAATGAGTGACTTATAAGCTATTTTTTATAGGCCGGTCATTTTTGACCGGGAACACCACAGGTGTTATAGGGTTTTGAACACCACATGAGGGTTAACTTTCACGCCATGTATAACTTACTTGCAAACTTTGTGCACAATCATGCAGTAACGTTACCATTTTTGCATTTGATATTCCAGAAGTAACACAGAAGCAAGGATGACCGACACATGAGCTTCACAATTCTCTGTCACGTCACCATGTCCCTGGTGAACACTCTTATGGCAGTAGATCGTAAGTAATGATTTATAGTTCATTTAGTATTTATTTTATTTTTGTTTTTCTTACACAAAAATAAAATGAGTTAAAACGATTCATATTTTTATTACACACATCTATCGTTTGGCTTCAGATTTAGAAGACATTGATTCATCCACGGTGGCCTTGCGAATAAATGTTACGATCGTGGTGTTGTTTTTTAAGTGACAAAAGAATTAAGATTAGTTAAGTACATTAACATGATCATTTTATGTTTCTTTTAAAAGTGTTTGCAGAGTATGTGATCACTTTTTGCAGAGTATGTGATCACTTTTTGCAATGTGCTTTATTTTAGCACTAAGATTTTCTTGATTTTCTTTACTCTCAGACCTGGATTTCCTCTCAGACCAGATCTGTCAAAAGCTGATGTGGGACGTATTGGCTGTTTTTTGCCTCTTTCTACATTTCTTCACCCATTGGTTCTCGTGATGTCCTCTCAGATCTGGACTTCCTCTCAGGCCAGATCATTCAAAAGCAGGTTTGGGATATTTTGGCAGTGTTTTTTTGTTTTTGTTTTTTTCTATCAAGGATTTTTCATCCATTGGTTCTCAATGTTTTCCTCTCAGACCCAGACTTAGGGCCTTTCTCAATCTGTGTTCTTGTCTGTACTTGTGTCCTTGTGTTCTTGTGAAACGTCATCTTTTGTGGCCCAAGTACTGTCCCAATACACAAGTTTGCATTTTGGCAAGAACAGTTAAAAATCCCGGATGTGTTCTTGACACGCCCATTTTACCGAGGATGCATCGGTTGGTAACTTGTGTTGACTTGACGGCAGAAATATCCCAGCATTCAATTCGGCATTCGAGGAAGGAGAGGCAGGTCAATACAGTATTTCGTTTTTCTACAATTACGTACACTATTTCATCACTAAATTCACTTCTGAGAACATTTGATGCGAGAAATCAACTGTGTAGATTTCAAATATTGGCATTTTTACGAAAATGTATGGCTAATCGAAAATGTGCTCAAACGTTTTCGGAAGTGAGAATCTCCATAAGCGCCTGCGGGTGTAACGTTAGCTATCGAGCCAACCGGCCAGTTTGCTCACAGACTCGTTTTTCCCCACAGCCAAGAGACCATTGCAGCCTGGCTGTTATCGTCAATAATTCTCGTTATGTTTGGGTACTGCAGACGGTGTCTGTGCGGGGGTATTATTGCGCAATACCAGCAAGAACACATCGTCTCAAACTGTCAGCAGCGTTCTGTGTGCTCGTTAGCTTGTGAGTTCATTCTTCCAAGAACAACTAGCAAGAGCGTTCTCCCCAAGAACACAAGTCCGTTCTTTGCATTCTTGGTTTTGAGAAACACCCTTAATCTCTGGCCTGGTTGCTGATGTGACATTTTGGCTGGTTTTAGTGTTTTGTTTGTTCGGGTTTTTTGGGTTTTTTTTTTTGCCTCTTTGTAATGTTTCTGTGTTTGCCTACTGGTTCCTCTCATTGAATTTTAAAATGCATTTTCTGTGACTTTTTTTCCTTAGATACTGTTAATGTATTGTTAAAACCTGTTACTTATTTTAAATAAATGGCAAACAATGTACTAATACATAATCTCTTTTGTCTTTATTTTTTCCATTGAGTAAAAAGTCTGTTTGGAATGTCTGTATACATTATGCTACATATAGGGATGTTAATAGATATCAGACAATAGAGTAAATAAAAAACAGTAGGGATGGCCCGATACCGATACTGGCATCGGGGATCGGGCCGATACTGTCCTAATATACTCGTACTCGTACTCATAAATATTCGCCGATACCACGCACCGATACCACGTACATTTTGCGAAACGAAACTGGCCGCCGCGAGTGCTTTGTCGAGGTGAACTGAGGCATAGGAAAGTATAATGTCGGCGGTTTGGGCTCATTTCAAGATAAGGGATGATGACAACAGCAAGGCAGACTGTGAGTTATGTTCAGCTAAGGTGTCGAGAGGAGGGAAAGAAAGTACATCGTTTAACACCAGCAATCTAATTAAACATCTGAAGACGCATCATAGATCTGATGGCCGAGCGCGCGCGCGGGCGGTAATGCACTCACTCTGTGTGTGCGGGTTACGGGAGAATAAAACGATTCGCGGGACTCCCGCAAACTAGAAATATCTATGAATAATACATAAAAACTAAAAGATTTTTATTCATCTCTTGCATAAAAGCAACAAGAACAACTACAACAAAATAGAAACGATTTACAGGCCAGAGTTTCTATTCATAACATGGTTACAGCGTTGAGCGATGTAGCCAATCACAGACATATGTGTTGATTTCTTGAACGCAATGGCCAATCAGAAGCATTTAAGATAGACTCCCCTCACCGCTCAAAACGGACTTTTTTGTTCAGTGCTGAATTCTGTATGCTGGCAAATCCTCTAATTATAACAAACAAAGTGTGGATATTATGAAAGATTTATGGTGCAGTCAGCTTCATTGATAATAACAGAGATGTGTGAGATCGCGATGAACTGTCAGCTTTTAGGATTTATTAAGGGAGCGCACTTTGCGCGCATTCAGTCATGCCAGACCATGCACGCAGTAGCCTGCTTGCTTTTATGTTAAATTAACAGTGGTTTGTGTGTTAATACATTTATTATTTTACTAATTTTTATTTATTTTTAGACTTGTTAAAACAAGCAGAGAAGAAAATAAAAACAGTCTTCTAACCTGTGTTCTAAAATAGTCGTCTTCTTTTCTGGGAGCCTATTACTTTTGCGGTAGAAATATCGGTATCGGTACTCGGTATCGGCAAGTACACAAATGTAAATACTCGTACTCGTATCGGTTTGAAAAAAAATGGTATCGGGCCATCCCTAAAAAACAGTATTTATATTCTAACTTTATGCTGCCAGTACTTTGTGAAATTACAGCACAGCCTTAAAATTAAAAACTGTAAAATTACGGTAAAGGGCTGGAACCACAGCTGCCAGTACTTTACTGTGAAATTACAGCATTGTTGAAACCGTAAAATTACGGTAAAGGGCTGGAACCACAGCTGCCAGTACTTTACTGTAAAATTACAGCATTGTTGAAACCTTAAAATTACGGTAAAGGGCTGGAACCACAGCTGCCAGTACTTTACTGTAAAATTACAGCATTGTTGAAACCGTAAAATTACGGTAAAGGGCTGGAACCACAGCTGCCAGTTCTTTACTGTAAATATACGGGTGAATTTTTTACAGTGCATGTGTGTCCTATTTTTAGCCAGTGATCCTTGAAGTATGAGCAAAGAGCTGGGAAATCTTCAAACCTCTTGAGGAATTGTTCAGCAGTTGACTTAAAATCTTGATGCTATTTTAACAAAATTAAAAAAGAATAGGTGATTTAATGTTAAATGTAACTGATTTAATGTTTATTTTAAAATAGTTATATAAATAGTAATAGTACAATTAAGGAAGCAAAATTGAATTGTTAATTGTACGCACTGTTGCACAAAGCTTCATCTTTCTGACGAAAGAAATGATTTCTGTTCTAACATCAGTATTTGATGGCCCACTGACTCCAGAGTCTGTCTTCGAAAGCCAGCGGACAACAGCCTGAAGAAAGAGACAATAACTAACTTACGGTACATTTTTCAAATATAAAGAATATATGAAGAGTTTGGTTCCAAAACGCAATAAATCCATTTAGATTAATTTGAGTAAAAATGTGTTTTCTTTACCAAGAAAGTGGAAAGATGAAAACCACTATTTTCTGTTTCAAACTTTCACATAGCATTTGTAGGTCATAATAACAAAAAAAATTAAAATCCAGGTTTTGATTTTCAAAGATTTATTATAAAAACGGATTTTTTTCCCCCAAAATGCAATAAATCCATTTAAAAAAATAATCAAAATGCAATTAATCCATTGAATCAATATAAAGTTTTTTTTTCTTTCATATTGAAACTGTTGAAAATACACAACAACGTAAGTTTATTAGTATAATATTTTTATTAAGAACTGTAAAGAAGATTGAAAACATGTTTCCTCCTCCCGAGTGCCTCATCTTCTTAATCTCCTCACGTAAATGATTCGATTTCGATGCCTTGCGTTTCTTACCCACCGCAGAAACAACCACAGGTTCATCAATGCCGTCAAAATTATTCATTTTTTTGTTTGTTTGTTGATCAAAAAAGTACAAAATCGATAAGAAAAACTAGGAAGCCGGGTGTATTTAAGGCGCTGCCGTTACTGTTTACATTGCGTGGAATGGTGCGTTGTGATTGGTTGAGAGCGGATATATCGCATTCTGCAGAGAAGGGAGACTGGCGTTTGTCGCGGTTTGGAAAGAAAGGGAGAAAACATGACAGAATAACACGGCGGCTATCGCATTTTACTTAAAATTAAACATTGACTTTTCAATACCAACCAGATACAATACTGATTTTTGCAGTAACTAATTTTTTTTCAAAATGGCGTTTATCGCGTTTTGGAACCAAACTCTTCATATACATTTGTATACATACTTGCATAACATGATACCAGCAAAGCAAGATATCTGACTCTGGGAAGACTTTCCGCAAGGCATTCATCTCAAAATAGCAACAATAGTACCGTACCCAAACTCTGAACGAACTCTCTGCTCCTCACCACGGCGCGTCTCAGGTGCTGCGGTTATCACTCCGCCCAAGTAGCAGTGCTTCGCCTTCAGAGAATATAGTTCCCAGTATTTATACTGTTAAAATATGTCTGTGTCTCATGTGACGTAGTTTTTTGTACACTCTGTGACTATACAAATCCCAACATGTAAATAGGAAAATGTTTGCGCTATTTTGTCACTTATTTGGATTAGTATGCTAGCTGCAACCATTTACATCCAGTCTTTGTGCTAAGCTAGGCTAGCGGTGGGTGCGTCAAACAGACTTATAGCACGCACGGAGATGAAAAAGGTATGTATGGACTTATCTAACTCTAGGGGATAAGGTGAATAGGCTAAAGTCCCAAAAAGTCGGAGTGTTCCTTTAAAGAAAATTTGGGAGCAGTTCACCAAACGAACGTCCAATCAGCGTTGGCTTTGAGGTGGGTTGAGGTGTGACGCAACGAGAAGCGCGTCAGTTCAGTCTAAAGAACATGTCGGCTTCAGCGGATGAAACTAGCATCAGCGTGGCTATCGAGCAAGTTTTATCGGAATTACAGAGTATTTCTTCACTGAAAGAAGAGCAAAACACTGCTCTGGAGGCTATTCTCAGAGGAAAAGATACGCTCTGTTAGTACGTCATATGCTTCGTTGATCTGATTGGTTGATTTGGCCCGTCTATCACCAACATAGGCCAATCAGCTAACCAGTATTTTCGCCCCTTACCAAAACTACTTCAACGGAAGGTTTCCAGATGGATATGCGGAGCAAATCCATCTGGCGGAGTCAGGTTACAATAATTCTACTTCAAGTATGTAAATTTAATTAAACTAAAAAATTTATATATACATACCTTGGTGCAGCAGGACACACTCTCCTTAACTGCTGTAAAGCTATCTCTAGTGTTGCCTCTTTCTCATTGCCTGTTACTATAAATGCGACTGGAACTCCATGGCCATAGTCATCTCTTATAGCCAGGGTATAAAGTGGAAAATTATACTGGTTGACGCAATGAGTAGCATCCAAAAATATAATGTTCTTTTCATGTCTGTGTAGATTCTCTCTCATGTTGGGAGTCTGAAGGATAATTATGAGATCCTTCTCATGGGAAAAAGGCTGAAAAAAAACAACATTATCCTTGAGGTGACTGGTCAATAATTTGGCTGAACTAACAGCATCATCTTTATCCAAATGGCTTCGGCGTACCAAGCATGTACGTATATTCTCAATGTCCTTTGGAGTGACAAAGTACTGACGGTTGTTCAAGTCGGTGTGTCCACGAGATCTGGACCATTTGTGGGATTCCAGTAGAATGATATCTGGCTTGACCCCCAATGAGATCCATTCTTCAATTTGTTTGACCAAATCTGGACACACTGTTTGAAAGTGTCCTTCTTGTTCACAAGTTGCATTGTGGCCATTGTGCTCTTTGCTGGTGCGTTGTACAATGATTTTGTGGCTCAGCCAATCACTTTTAATCTTAAATGATGTGTAAGCCATACATCCTGAGCTCTTGTAACTTCCATCAACAGGGTTCCCTGACCGGATACAGTAGAAAATGTAGTACCCTTTATCCTTGTCCTTTTGACTTGCAGAATTTGTGTTTCTAAAATTTGTCAAAGTTGTAAGTTTTTCTTGAATGAACGTCTCATGATTTTCTTCTTTCTTCAGGATATGCACATCAACTGTAATATTTTTGTTTTTTCCTCTTTGTCTTTCTTCACGCAACACTCTTTTCTTAATGAAGCCCTCCATTTCTCTTTACATTCTGGGTAGAAAAACATGCATTATCTCTAGGGTTGTTGTCTCAGAATGTCTTTTATATTCTTAAAATAGTGTAACCACTATTATAATTAGAGTAAAATGATTTCCATTACACGAGAGTAGATGTTAAAACTTCATGCTGATTTGTACTCGGCTTTCGCCAAGATGAGCAAAACTAAGACGTAGCTTTACAGTAAACTATGCTTCTCCATCCATTTACGCTTCTTTCCATAAGGTAGTGTGACTCCCCTTCTGTCCGGCGTTAACGGCAGCAGTGTACTTGGCGCGTTAGCGCACGCGACAGCTGCAACTACAGGACCAGCACGACAACCGTCTGGATTGAACCGAGTAGGGGACATCTCTAGGGTCTTCAAGTGGGCACCTTCCGTCCTCAGTGTTTCGTCGACTAGCCCACGACACCTCAAGAGGGCTCGACAGTGACTCTGGCATCCCAGAGTCACCCCCCTCCGTCCCCCACTCAACTCAGCCCAGCTTACTGACCTCTACATCCCTCCTGCTGATGAGACCTAACCACAATAATCTCTCCGCGACCCAACCATACGCGCCAACCCGTTGACTAAGGCTGTCGAGCCCCACTGGTGCGTTAATATGCAGTTTCAGTGGACAACGGTTCCGTATGGCATACCACCTACCGCAAAACACAATATCTACCCAACCACCCGTCATTCACGCAATATCCACAGGAACGTATACAAACAAACCAACAGACTCTTCAAGTTTTCAAGAACTCTACGAAACCGTAGCGTGGCGGCCTGTACACAGCCAGCTAGAATCTTTCCGTCTCAACCACAGCCAGTTGCTGCTCCTTTCTGCTGCTTCAGATAAGTTCTTTACTGTGCGACGCAACTCTTGGCCACTGAATCCGACGTCTCTGAGGAACCGGGTTGTAGAGTGTGCCACAAAACCTCGACAACCCACTTCCACTGGATAAACCTGGACTCTCCATCCTCGCTGTTCTGCTTCAGTGGCCAGATGAGCATACCGCAGTTTCTTCCTCTCATATGCCTCATCTACCGCATCCTCCCATGGCACTGTTAACTCTATCAGTTGAACAATGCGTGCTGATCCAGACCACAAGACAATATCTGGTCGTAGGTTAGTGGTGGCAATCTCAGGTGGAAAAATAATCCGTTGGTCAAGATCAGCCAGCATCTTCCAGTCCCTAGCAGCTTCCAGTTGTCCTGGGCGAGAATTGGTGTTAACACCTTTTCTTGGTGGTTGCTCGCCTGGGCGGAGGAATATTGTCTTCTGCGTGTAATGTTTTGCTAGAACAGGTGGCAACTTATTGGTCATGTTACGCTTGCCTTCTAATGCTAAAGCCAAACATCGCAGTACTTGGTCATGGCGCCAAGTAAACCGACCCTGGCTAAGAGCCACCTTACATCCTGTCAAAATGTGCCTTAATGTGGCAGGTGATGAACACAAAGGACAAGAGGGATCCTCTCCTACCCAGAGGTTTAGGTTCTGCGGTGATGGGAGAACATCATATGTTGACCTAATAAGGAAACTGATCCTACTCTCTTCCATTGACCAAAGGTCTTGCCAGCCCATCTTACGTTGTTCCACACTCTCCCATCTCATCCACTCTCCCTGCTTGGCCTGTGAAATGGCCTTTATACACCTCATCCTCTCCTCCTGCTGTCGCACCTCGTTGACTACCAGCTTCCTCCTTTGAGCTGGGCCTGCCTTGTGCCATATAGGAGGAGCTAAACTGAGCCCAAAACCCCCTCTTCCATGCTGTACCTGTCCCACGATATCCCTAATTTGAAGGGCAGCCTTTGCCTCTACTACAGATTTCTTTGCTGACCACTTTCTACCAGTTTTTAACACAGGGGCTGCCTCCCTTACACATTTGTCGCGTGACTCTACTAAGGTCATTTCCAGTCTGACCTTGGCACACTTGAACTCCTCGGTTAAAGCAGAGACTGGCAGCTGCAATGTTCCTTTACTATAAAGTCCTACTCTGCTGAGGCAGCGTGGAACTCCCAACCATTTCCTGATGTATGAACTTACCAACGCTTCCAGCTTATCCACTGTTGTCAAAGAAACCTCGTACACGGTCAGTGGCCACAGCAACCTCGGCAGTAGACCAAACTGAAAGCACCAGAGTTTTAGTTTACCAGGTAGAGCACAGCTGTTTATGCTCTTCAACCCTTCCACTGCTTGTCGTCTAACTTCTCCCACCCGAACTGTGTCCTTTAGATCCCCATCGTACCATCTCCCAAGACTCTTCACTGGCTTCTCAGAAACTGTTGGTATTGCCTCACCATTAATGAAGAATGTTTTATCTACTACCTTTCCTTTAACTATCGAGATGCTCCTTGATTTAGAGGGCTTAAATTTCATTCGTGCCCATTCAATATTAGCTGTTAACTTCCCCAATAACCGATTAGTGCAGGCTACTGTTGTAGTCATGGTTGTCATGTCATCCATGTATGCTCTGATTGGTGGTAGTCGCATCCCAGAAGCCAAGCGCTCTCCTCCTACTACCCATCTTGATGCCCTCATGATTACTTCCATCGCCATGGTAAAAGCCAGTGGAGAAATGGTGCATCCTGCCATTATTCCAACCTCTAGGCATTGCCATGCAGTGCTGAATTTTGGAGTTGAGAAACTGAATTGCAAATCTCCAAAATAGGCTTTCACTAAATTTGTTATTGACATTGGTACTCTGAAAAAATCAAATGCTGCCCAAAGAAGCTCATGTGGCACTGAACCATATGCATTAGCCAAATCCAGGAATGTCACATGGAGCTCCTTCCTCTCCTTTTTAGCTGACTGAATTCGTTGCCAGATAACATTGATGTGTTCTAAGCATCCTGAGAACCCTGGAATACCCGCTTTTTGAACTGAGGTGTCAATGAAGCCATTCTTAAACAGGTAGGTGGACAATCTCTGGGCAATAATGCTGAAGAAAATCTTACCCTCAACGTTTAATAGTGAAATAGGACGAAACTGACTGATGCTTGTAGCATCTTTTTCTTTAGGTATAAAGACTCCACCTGTTCTGCGCCATGCTCTAGGTACAACCTGTTTTTCCCATGCCACTTTTATCAATTTCCACAGAATTCGCAGAACTCCTGAAGCACTCTTGTACACTCTGTACGGAACTCCATTAGGCCCTGGAGATGATGAAGCCCTTGCCTTTCTCACAGCCTGCTCTACCTCTTTCCA